GGGTAACACTGTTTGCCCTGCCCTGGAGATCTGCCTCTAAGGCTCCATCCCACCCAACTTATAGCTGTTAACAGTAGTTTTTTCATAATATGGCTGGTCTTGGTGCACGCTTCACAACTTTCTAAATCATTTCAAATAAGCAGCAGCCAGCCTCAATGAGCCTTCAGCCCCTATACCTCTTGCTAAATAGCCCCAGGCACAGCACTAGCAGTAGCCAGGCTAAATTCACAGCTTGGCTTTACCTAGGAATCTCCAAACCCAGCACAAGCAGTAGCCACCTCAGATTGCTCTGTAGCTCAGGCAGGGTGGCCCTGAGCAAAACACATGTGGGGGCTGACCTTGGCCTGCACCACCTGAGAAACCCCAGGGCCTGTGCACCTAGTAGACAGCTACAGACCACATCAGAGCACCACCACCCTGCCCCTCTACAGCTGATCCTCCATGGAGGGCAGAGGTTGGTGGTCAGTGGTCACAGCCAATCTTTGCAACTTACTGGCTGGGGTAAATTCTTCCCATTGACCTGCAAACAGCAACCAGGTCTCTACACAAGGAGAGTGTGTTTAGCCAACATGAAGGGCACACCTCGAGGACCCAGCTTAAGTGATAGAAGAGGCTATGCCACTGGACCCTACAGGACACCTATTACATTTGGTGACATAATGAAGACAGGGAGTCATAGCAGCTCTACTTGATACATAAAAACAAACACAGGGAGGCTGCCAAAATGAAGAGACAAAGAAATGGCCCAAATGGAAGAACAAATCAAAACTCCAGAAAAAGAACTAAACAAAATGGAGATAAGCAATCCATCAGATGAAGAGTTCAAAACACTGGTTATAATGATGCCAGAGGAACTTATTGAGGATCTTAGTAGCATAAAAAAAAAATCCAGTTAGCAACAAAGGATCAACCTGGCTGATATGGCTCAGTGGACTGAGTGCCAGCCTGTGAACCAAAAAGTTTCCAGTTCAATTCCCATTCAGGGCACATGCCTGGGTTGCAAGCCAGGTCCTCAGTTAGGGGTGTGAGGAGGCAGTCAATCAATCAGTGTTTCTGTCACACACTAATATTTTTCTCCCTCTCTCCCTCCTTTCCCCTCTCTCTAAAAATAAGTAAAATATTTTCAAAAAAATAAATGAAGGATACACTAATTGAAAAAAAGAACAATATACAGGGAAACAACAGTAGAATGAATAAAGCTGAGAATCAAATCAATGATTTGGAACACAGTGAAGAAAAAAACAAGCAATCAGAACAAGGAGAAAAAAGAATCCAAAAAAACAAGGATAATATAAGCAGTCTCTGGGACAACTTCAAGCTTTCCAACATTTACATCATAGGGGTGCCAGAAGGAAAAGAGAAAGAGTGAGAAATTGGAAATGTATTTGAAAAAATAATGAAAGAAAACTTCCTCGTTTTGGTGAAGGAAATAGACATGCAAGTTCAGGAAGCACAGAGTCCCAAATAAGGTGGATGCAAAGAGGCCCACTCCAGGACACATCATAATTAAAATGCCAAAGGTTAAAGATAAAGATAGAATCTTATAAGCAGCAAGAGAAAAGCAGTTACCTACAGGGGATTTTCCCATGAGACTGTCAGCTGATTTCTCAAAAGAAACTTTGTAGGCTAGAAGGGACTGTCAAGAAATATTCAAAGTCATGAAAAGCAGGAACATACAGCTAAGATTGCTCTACCCAGCATATATCCTTCAGAATCGAAGGGCAGATAAAGAACTTCCCAGAGAAGAAAAAAGTAAAGGAGTTCATCATCACCAAACCATTATTATATGAAATGTTAAAGGGACTCATTTAAGAAAAGAAGACCAAAATTATGAACAATGGAATGGCAATACATACATGCCTGTCAATCATTGAATCTAAAAAACTAAGCAAACAAGAACAGACATGGAATCATAGATACAGAGTATTTTGATTGTTGCCAGACTGGAGGGGGTTTTAGGGGAATGGGTAAAGAGGTGACAGGATAAAGAAGTACAAATAGGTAGTCACAGAATACCCAGTGGAATGTAAAGTACAGTATATGAAATGGATTAGCTAAAGAATTTATACATATTACCCACGGACATGAACAATGGTGGGAGAATTGCCTGAGGGAGTGGGTGGTGCTGGGTGAAAGGAGACAAAGGGGGAAAAATTGGGGCGACTGTGATAGCATAATAAATAAATTTTTTTTTAGATTTTATTTATTTATCTTTAGAGGGGAAGGGAAGGAGAGAGGGAGAGAAACATCAATGTATGGTTGCCTTTCGTGCGTCCCCTGCTGGGAACTGGCCTGCAGGGAACTGGCCTACAACCCAGGCATGTGCCCTAACTGGGAATCGAACCACGATTGTCTGGTTCGCAGGCCCGCACTCAATCCACTGAGCTACACCAGCCAGGGCATAAATAAAATATTTTTAAAGAAAGATTTTTTATATGACCCAAAGGTGGAAGTATGGCCAGCAGGTGGAAGCTCTCATAAAATTATTCAATTATATGTAGGCCACTTAGTATAGATATTGTAGAGAGGATTGAAGTGAGAAATGCTTTTACCTCCTAAGGTGCTATGATTCCAGTTTTAGCCTTTATATTCCAAATCACTAAAGAATAATTTAGTTTGGAAGGGCAGAGGAAATAGTTCAAGAAGCAGAGTCAAAGAAAAATAGTTCCCATGGTATAAGGGATTCAGGGGGAAGGAAACTGGAAAGGTCAAAGTTTATTCTACTCTATATTAAAATTCTAGGTTATTATTTAAAATCAGGTCTGTGTTCCATAATAATTCAGACAAATTCCAATATATCATCTCAAAACATACACACATTAGCCACATGTGCCTTTCATAATGCATGACGCAGTAAGGCATGGAATCCCATCAGAATATAGAAAAGCCAGGATATGAGATAAAATGTTCAGGAAAGCTGTTTCCTTCTAAGAGGGAATTGGACATAATTTTTCTATTCAGTTTAAATTGTAAGAGTGAAAGATAAAGTGTCCTTATTACTGGAGGTCATTCCAAATTCCATAGCTTTATATGAGCTTCTTTTCATGCTATCTCCCTCAAACTAAAAGAAAGCAGGGTGATCAGTGACATATACTTGTAGTTCTACTTTCAAATGGCAGAACTAGCCCTGGCTGGTATGGCTCAGTGGATTGAGTGCTGGCCTTTGAATCAAAAGGTTGTGGGTCAATTCCCAGTCAGGGCACATGCCTGGGTTGCGGGCTAGTTGGGGGCTTGTGAGAAGCCCGATTAGGTACTTGTGAGAAGCAACCCATCGATGCATCTATCACACCTTGATGTTTCTCTCTCTCTCTCTTTCTCCCTCCCTTCTCCTCTCTCTAAAAATAAATATATATTTTTAAAGGCAGAACTAACCATGGTCTTATCATCATACTTTTCCTTTGGAGACCCAGGTCTCTCGTTTTTCAGTTGCTTCAACCTATATGATATAATTTTATTTTACAGCTTCTTTACCCTATCCATGCTGTCATTTCTCCCTCCCCTAAAACAAAGAAATTAGTCAAATTGTTTCCACCAAGATGTGAGGGGGATTTTAAACCAAACTCATTATAGGCAAATTCAAGAAATTAGGCTCCCTTGAAAAGGTTCAGATTTCTTCCATTGCCATTTTAGCTCAGTTAACACTTCTGAGATGTCATTCATAGTTAGTCAAGCCTTTACTCATTGAGTATCTCTCAGCGTTTCTTCCTGCCTGTACAGGGGGGTGGTCTTCACCTCACCTTAATGAGAACAGACTCAATGTAAGATGGTCTTCAGGAGTGTTGTATGAGCCCAAAACTCTCCTGAACCACAGCTTTTCTAGAAGATGCCCCAAGGAGATCTTAAATTTGTGATCGAGAGGCCTCTTTGTGACTTAAGAGATACCAGAATTATTAGCTCAATTGGGCCTGACATCTTACCAATGTAGAAAAATGAGGGCAGAAGTGAAACCATATTTGTTGTTGCTCACCTCCATCAGATTGGAAAAAAAGAACTGTTACTACCTTTTTTTAATGTAGTAGACACCAGATTATCATCAGTTTGCTCAGTATCAGGAAGGTTTTAAGGGATTAAGATAGCAAGGGAAGAGTTAGAAACTCCTGTTTCACCAAGAATTCTAAAATATGGGAAGAATAGAACAAAAGACCCACTTTGTTATGAAACTGAACTGCAGTGCCAGCAGTTCATGCTCCTGTCATGGTGCAGTGTCAGGGTGTCATTGTGTTGTTTATTGTTCCCTGCAAAGCCATTTATGCCTCCACGGTTCTGTGAGGTGATTACACCACTGCTAGACAAGTACTATCTTTTTCTGGTTTTCTCCAGTCCTACTTCTAGGACCAAGTTCTAATTTCTTTCACTGATCCGGTGAACCTTTCTTTTGTTACCCTGAAACCCTATATTCCTAACTTTTAACCTCTAGGACCAGATTTTGGGGTGAAATCACCATCAGGCCTAGAGAGTTCCCTAGAAAAGGTCTTTCTTATCTTGTCTGCAGTACTTTAATAGTCAATTGATCTTTATTTGCTTTTGATAATTGGGTAATCTAGTCATTCTGGTTAGCAGAAAAAGTGTTCACAGCTCTCCAATAGCCAGTAGAGCTGGTTGGGGAAAGGCAGGCAGTAGATTCAGGAATCATTTTACTTTCCTGAAAAATAATATCATAATACTTGGATGGATTTAAATGACATTTTTTTTTCCTTTCAGGGTCTTTATAACCATTATATATTTTCCCGTTCTGAATTTTTCTAAGTATTCATCCATGGTGAAGCAGGTGGTATTTCCATTTTATGGTTAAGGAAACAGAAGCTCTGAGAAGTTAAAATAATTTGGCTAGAGTTGTACATAAAACCTAGGCTTCACATTTCTTTGATTTGCAGTTTGGTCCTTTGACCAAGGGCTGAATTTCTTGGAAGTGTATTCCCTCACCTTTTAACTGGGAAGATACAAATTCAACCTGAACGGAATCCTCGGGTTAAACTATGTTCCTTTCTGTGTTTTGACAGGCTGTGGCCGGGCCCCTGGACATGTCTCTGCCTTCCACACCAGACATTAAAATCAAAGAAGAGGAGCCAGTAGAGGTGGACTCTTCCCCGCCTGACAGCCCTGCCTCCAGCTCCTGTTCCCCGCCGCTCAAGGACAAGGTGACATTCTCTACCAAGAATCATCCCAAATGTTAATTAATAGATTACGTTTTGATTCATTAGTTGTATAAGTAGTGTATGATACAAGAGGATTGAGTATATTCAAATAAATGTTAATTGTTTAGATTTATATAAATTATACTTATTCTACTTCTTAGTCTGTGTGGAAATGCAATTAGTACATATGTCCACCCAAAGAAGCGAATGAAAATGTTCATAATGGTTATATTTTAAATTTTTGTTTATTTTTAGCGAGGGGGAAGGGAGGGAGAAAGAGCAGAGACACATTGATGTGCAAGAGAAGCATTATCAGTTAACCTCTTGCACAACCCCAAATGGGAACCTGGCCCACAACCCAGGTGTGTGCCTTGGCTGGGAATCAAACTGGTGACCTTTAGCTCTGTGGGACAATGTGCAACCCACTGAGCCACACCAGTGAGGCCAACAGTTGTATTGATAATAGTCAAACAACTAGAAGTAGTCCATGAACAAGAAAATGAATAAATAAAGAGTAGTATATTTATAAAATGGAATGCTACATGGCATTAAAAAAGAATGAACTGGCCCTGGCTGGTATGGCTCAGTGAATTGAGCACTGTCCTACGAACCAAAGGGTCACCAGTTCGATTCCCATTCAAGGCACATGCCTGTGTTGTGGGCCAGGTCCCCAGTAGGGGGCTTGTGAGAAGTAAACTCACACTAGTGTTTCTCTCCCTCTCTTTCTCCCTTTCCCTCTGTCTAAAAATAAATAAGTAAAATCTTTTTAAAAAAAGAAGAAGGCGGCCCTGGCTGGTGTAGCTCAGTGGATTGAGCGCAGGCCACACAATCGCGGTTAGATTCCCAGTCAGGGCACATGCCTGGGTTGCAGGCCGGTTCCCTGCAGGCCATTTCCCAGCAGAGGACGCACAAAAGGCAATCATACATTGATGTTTCTCTCCCTCTCTCCTTCCCTTCCCCTCTAAAGATAAATAAATAAAATGTTTAAAAATATATATTAAAAAAAAAAAGAAGAAGAAGGAACTGCCCTGCCCAGCGTGACTTGTTTAGAGTTTCGTCGTATAACCAAAAGATTGCAGTTGGATTTCCATTCAGGGCACATACCTGGATTGCAGTTCTGTCCCCAGTCTGGGCACATACATCCTCTGTCCCAGAGCCGATGCAGGGCAATTAGTCAGTGCTTCTTTCTTGCATCAGTGTTCTTTTCTCTCCCTTCCTCTCTCCCTTCCTCTTCTTTCTAAACCAGCAATGAAAAAATGTCTTTGGGTGACGATTTTTTTTTTTTAAGAGTGAACTAATGATATAAGAGCAATATGGATGAATCTCACAAATGTTATATTGAACAACAAAAAAATCAGACACAGAAGTACATACTATATGATTTTATTTACATCAGGTTCAAGAAGAGGCAAAATTATTTGATGGTGATAAAACTCAGAATAACGTTTAACTTCTTGTGAGGAAAGGTATGGATTGGGAAGGGATGCAGGAGAACCTTTTGGGGTGCTGGAAATGGGCTCTGTCTTGATTATGCATATGTAAAAAGTCATTCAGTGGTGCCTTTTATATTAATACACTTTACTGCATGTATGTTATATTTCAGTTAATAAGTGAAAAAGAAAATCACATTGTTTATAAAATGGACAGTAGACAATTTAGCCCTGGCCAAATGGCTCAGTTGGTTGGAGCAATGCCCTGTGCACCAAAAGGTTGCAGGTTAGGTCCCCAGTCAGGGCACATACCTAGGTTGTGGGTTCGATCCCTGGTCCAGGTGTATATGGGAAACAACAGACTGATGCTTCTTTCTTGATGCTTCTTTCTCTCTCTCTCTCTCTCTCTCCCTCCCCCCCTCACCCCCTCTCTCCCTCTCTCTCCCTCCCTGCCCCCCCTTCCCCTCTCCTTTCCTCTCTAAAATCTATAAATATATCCTCGGGTTAGGATTTTTTTAACCTAGAAAAAAATTTTTCCCATAGGGAAGTCTTCTGGTGACTTAAAGGGAATATCTACTAAGATTCCGAATAGTTTTAAAGGAACCTTTTTATGAATTCATTGAAATATAGCACATGTACAGAAAAGTACATAAACTGTAAGTATACAGCTCACTGAATTTTTACAAAGTTTACAGCTTTTGTAACCAGCACCCAGATATTATCAGAACCTCAGAAGTCCCCTCATGCTTCCTTCTTTCTAGTCTCAGTTCTACCAGTAGTTATTACTTTTAACATCTACTTTGATTATTAGAGCATCTGTATCTCATTTTACTTTCCTCCAAATTTGGATCGATAATTTTCCCAAACTCCTCCTTCCATAAACATTGCAACCTTCCCCTCTCTTACTCCTTTTCATCAGCAGCCAGTTCCTAGAGACTTTCTGGAGCTGTTTTCATGGCCATTGTGGCCATTGGCAACCTAAGATCCTAACAAGTTAGCAGTAGGAAGCTGACCTGTGAACCAAAGGGTCGCCGTTTCTATTCCCAGTCAGGACACATACCTGGGTTGTAGGCCAGGTCCTCAGCAGGGGGTGTATGAGAGGTAACCACACATTGATGTTTCTCTCTGTCTTTTTCTCTTCCTCCCTCTCCTCTCTCTAAAAATAAATAAATAAAATCTTTTAAAAACAAAACAACAAAAAACTTTCATAGCACTTTTTTAAAGAAGATATTGGGTTGCCTTATCACCAGTCTTATACCTGCCTTTTTCCAATAGAGATCACAAGATACTCAGACATCAAATTTAGAATAACAGTATCTAGATTATGAGAAATTATAACAATTTTTAGAATTTATGTGATATTACAGTGCTTCTGCAGAGATTTTAAGTGATTTTTTAACTGTCATCTCATGCATATAACCATCATCCCTGATAAAAGGGAGATAACGTAAAGGTCTTAACTCAGCATTTTTACCGAATGGGTGAGGGAGGTATGGTCATGACCATAGAGCAAAAAGAATTGCTCTAATGCTCTTTCCGATAAATTTGCACTAGATTTTACTCGCTACTGATTTCCCTGCAAGCAGCCCTAAAAGTGTTTTGTGATCTATTGGTCTCTTTTCCCCAGGAGATTACCCCAAAGCCTGTCGTGATCTCTACCCCAACGCCTACCATTGTACGCCCTGGCTCCCTGCCTCTCCACTTGGGCTATGATCCACTTCACCCAACCCTTCCCTCCCCAACCTCTGTCATCACACAGGCTCCACCATCCAACAGGCAGCTGGGGTAAGTAAAGAGCAGACAGAAATAATGAAGTCTGAATCTTTTTTTCTTTTTTTTTTATTTCAAGTTTTTAATGAAAGTTGTATATAGGATTACATTATTCCTGCATCTTCTCAATTTTTTCTTCCTTGCATTTGCCCTTTTCCTTTCCTACTTGGTGAGATTTGGCTTTACATTCAAGGATTTTTTTTTTGCAGTCTTTGTGCAGCTTTAGTCTAGTGATGACCACCTTGCTGGGGTGAATGCTCACATGAACGGTTGTACCATTAGCTTTCTCCTGTTGCACTCATTTGGTGTAGGGGACATATTTCTTCCTGTAAACCTGGACTATGCCAGTTTTCTGCCTTTTGTAGTATCCTCTCACAACCTGAACTTCATCATCCTTTCGGATGGGCATGGATCAAACATTGTACTTCTATCTCAGTTCAGAAAGAGGAGAAGATATAATCTTCCTGCGAATGTGTGAAGGTGCATTGAAATGCCTTTTATAGTTCTTGCTCTGGTCAAAAGTAAAAAAAACTTCATTTTGACAGCTGGTGCTTCCACAGTGGCCACAAAAAGGGAAGAGCTGAATCTTTTTCTACTTTGTGAAGTTATTTGCTAAAACAGGCACTGTTTTTGAATACTCAAGGAAAATGAGTCACTGATATTGTCTCTCAAAATAAAAAATTTCCCCCTGTAAACAGGTTCCTTTACCTTTCAAGTAGCCCAGCAAATACTTATTTGACAGTAATACTTTATTCATTTGGATGTTTAATACTTCTTTGATCTAGAAGAAGAATCTTGAAAACTTTAGGAAGTTCAAGATAATGGTGGAGGCCACAGAGGAACCTGCATTTAGTTCTTGGCTTCCATCTGTAGAAGTTTATTAGAGCACAACTGAATGACAGGCTGAAACCCATTAAGTCATCTTTTTTTAGTGTTTTCCTCAGTTCCAGTTAGGATTCTTGATCTTCAATACCCCTAATTTTGTTTGTTTCTGTTTGTCTTCACTCCTGGCACAACCTGTACAGATTTCACAATGGGCTGATTTACCCCTAGGTATCTATTGAGTTAAGAGATTATTGTCAGGATTTAGCCTTTTGAAGCTTATTGTCCTATACACCCACTAGGAAAAAATACAAAAAGATATCTTTTTGGACAAGGCAGAGCAAAATGTAGAAAGGAATGAGAGAAACTTATTCATATTTGGCTATCATATGACATAATTCAGCTTTGCAAAATGCCAACTTGGTCCAAGTCCCCCTCACCTAAGGCAAGACAGAATTTATACATGGCTGTAATGGGATGTTTATTTAATTGTTCAAAACTCTTCATAGGATTAGCCAGCACCCTGGCTGGTGTGGCTCAGTTGAATGAGCACCAGTCTGTAAACTGAGAGGTCACTGGTTTGATTCCCAGTCAAGGCACATGCCTGGGTTGCAGGTCCAGGTTCCCAGTTGGGGTCGTTCGAGAGGTAACTCTTTGATGTCTCTTGCACATCACTGTCTCTCTCCCTCTTTTTCTTCCTCGTTCACCACTCTCTGAAAATAAATAAACAAAATCTTGAAAATAGGATTAGCTTCCCATCCATTGAGTTCACTGGTGTTGGCTTAATTTGCAAGGTATAAAAAGAACTTGTAGCAGGACCTCCGGCCAAGATGGAGGCATAGGTGGACACCCTGTGCCTCCTTACACAACCAAAAGGACAACAATAATTTAAAAACAAAAAACAACCAGAACTGACAGAAAATCAAACTGTACGGAAGTCTGACAACCAAGGAGTTAAAGAAGAAATGTCCATCCAGACCAGTAGCAGGGGCAGAGATGGGCAGCTGGGTGGAGAGGACCCAGGCGGGCAAGGTGGCGTCTGGCAGACCCAGTGAGGCAGCAGACTGTAGAACGGGACACATGAGGCTGCAGCTGGCTGGCAAGGCAGCAGTGGGTGAACCCAGCGAGGCAGTGGATTGCGGACCGAATGGTTCCACATTGGCGTGCAGATAAACCAGGGGGAACACCTGGGGAGTGAGACAGACCTGGAAACCCAGTGTCCCAGTGCAAAGAAATAAAGCCTCAAACCACTGATTGAAACACCTGTGGGTGTTGAGGCTGCAGCAGGAGAAACTCTCAGCCTCACAGGATAGTTTGTTGGAGAGACCCACAGGGTCCTAGAATATACACAAGTCAACCCACCTGGGAAGCAGCACCAGAAGGGCCCACTTTGCTTGTGGATAGTGGGGGAAGTGACTGAAATCTGGCAAAGAGCAAAGCAAGTGGCATTGTTCCACCTGGGACCCCTTCCCCATGTACAGCGTCACAACCCAGCGACTAGGTTGCCCCCCTCTGGTAAACAACTAAGGCTCCGCCCCTTATACATAGCAGGAGTGCTGAGACCAAAAAAAAATTGCCCAAACGAAAGAACAGATCCAAGCTCCAGAAAAAAATACAACTAAGCGATGAAGAGATAGCCAACCTATCAGATGCACAGTTCAAAACACTGGTGATCAGGATGCTCACGGGATTGATTGAATTTGGGCGCAAATTAGATGAAAAAATGAAGGCAATGCTAAGTGAACTAAAGAAAAATATACAGGGAACCAATAGTGATGGGAAGGAAACCGGGACTCTAATCAATGGTGTGGACCAGAAGGAAGAAAGAAACAACCGAACAGAAAAGAATGAAGAAACAAGAATTCAAAAAAAATAAAGAGAGGTTTAGGAAACTCCAAGACATCTTTAAACGCTCCAACATCCAAATTATAGTGGTGCCAGAAGAAGAAGAGGACGAGCAACAAATTGAAAGCTTATTTGAACAAATAATGAAGGAGAACTTCCCCAATCTGGCAAAGGAAATAAACTTCCAGGAAGTCCAGGAAGCTCAAAGAGTCCCAAAGAAGTTGGACCCAAAGAGGAACACACCAAGACACATCATAATTACATCAGCCAAGATTAAAAATAAGGAGAGAAGCTTAGAAGCAGCAAGAGAAAAGAAGACAGTCACCTACAAAGGAGTTCCCATCAGACTGTCAGATGATTTCTCAAAAGAGACCTTACAGGCAAGAAGGGGCTGGAAAGAAGTATTCCACCTGATGAAATCCAAAGACCTACATCCAAGATTGCTCTATCCAGCAAAGCTTTCATTTAGAATGGAAGGGCAGATAAAGTGCTTCTCAGATAAGATCAAATGCAAGAAGTTCATCATCACCAAGCCCTTATTATATGAAATGTTAAAGGGATTTATCTAATAAAAAGAAGATAAAAAAGATGAACAGTGAAAGGACAGCAAACTCACAGTTATTAACAACCACGCCTAAAAAAAGCAAAAGCAAACAACTAGAACAGGAATAGAACCACAGAAATGGAGATCATATGGAGGTTTATCAACAGGGGAGTGGGAGGGGGAGAGAGGGGGAAAAGATACAGAGAATAAGTAGCATAAATGACAGGGGAAGGTTAAAAATAGTATAGGAAATGTAGAAGCCAAAGAACTTATACATATGACCCATAGACATGAACTAAAGGGGGGAATGTGGGTGGGAGGAGCTGCGTAGGGTGGAGAGGAATAAAGAGGGGGAATGGGACAACTGTAATAGCATAATCAATAAAATATATTTAAAAAAATAAAAAGAACTTGTAGCACTCCCTGCTTTTTCCATCTCATGAGTGCATCAAGATTTTATAATGCTGCCCTTTAGCTTCCCTAACTAGAAAAGACTAGAAAATTTGCAGAATTATAGGAGGAGTATCCAAAGGCAAAGGAGTCTGTCTGTATTATGAGCATTTCACTTCATGTGTCCTCTAGGTCTCCCACTGGCTCCCTTCCACTCGTCATGCATCTTGCTAATGGACAGACCATGCCTGTGCTGCCAGGGCCTCCGGTACAGATGCCTTCTGTTATATCGGTAAGCTTTTTAGTAGGGACAACCAGCTCTACCACAACACGCAATCCCTCCCTCCCACCTGAGTGGTCATAAACACACACAAGCCCCAGGGAAACGTGGGCTCTAGTCTGTATTAGTTGAGCATGGCAGCCTACCCAAACACTTCACTAACCTCTGCTAATCCAGCACTATGGAAAGACAAAGACTCATCTGGACAATTGGCTCCTGGTCTAGGAATTGATTTTGCCAGCCTGCTGATTGGTTGATTTCACTTGGCACTTAACACCTCCCAAATTGCCCACCACTTTCTTCAGTATCCTGTCCCAGCCTTTTCCATAGAAATTGTCATAGCCCTGATGGATTAGATTCCCTACACTATTGTGCTCCATGGAAGAGGGCATTTCCCAGGATCCCTGTATACCCTACATAGGCAAGTTGCACAGAACAAGCCCTAATGTGCCAAACTCAAAATCACAGCATTTTGAGGAAACTTTTGCCCCACTATTACTATTATGTTCTCTTCTGGTTTTTCTTCTTCCTCTTGATCCAGCTGGCCAGGCCTGTGTCTATGGTGCCCAACATTCCTGGTATCCCTGGCCCACCAGTTAACAGCAGTGGTTCCATTTCTCCCTCTGGCCACCCTATGCCATCAGAAGCCAAGATGGTGAGTACATTCCAGCCTGGGGCAACATTGGCTCTTTCTGAAATAAGTGATACCAGCCTAGGTTTTTCAAGTATGGCAAGCGAGGGAACCTTCTGGGATTGGGCAAAGCTAAAGACACCCTGTTGTGACATCTTAAAAAAAAAAAAAAGACCCTGATTTAGGATTCCCATTTCCTCTCTTCCACCTTTGGAGCCTGGTACATAGACCATGGCAGTGAAGAGGCAGCACAGATTGTTTGGAATGGAACATTGTTGTTTCAGTTCCAGGGTGACAGATGGAAGGTGGATGAGTGGGCCAAAGAGCTGGCCAAGAGGTGAATAGCTGCATAACCAGTACCTGGCCATATTCCAGGAGAGAGCTTTCATCTGTACTCTATTGCTTCAACAACCCCCACCCTCCAACTGTGCCTAGGATGATAGCCAGGGAATGGAGTAGGCATTTTCAGGCTCCAGGTGCACATTCTCTCTCCCTGTCATTTTTAAAAATTCCTCTGTTAAGGGAAAATTGGGGTGGAAATTTTAGCTATCTGTAAGTTCAGTAATGATATCCAAGCCCACTCTTTCCTACCCTTGAGAAAATCTCACCCTGAAGCTTTTTTTCCTTATCTTTCCCCACAGAGACTAAAAGCCACCCTAACCCACCAAGTCTCCTCAGTCAATGGTGGTTGTGGAATGGTGGTGGGTACTGCCAGCACCATGGTGACAGCTCGTCCTGAGCAGAGCCAGATCCTCATCCAGCACCCTGATGCCCCATCCCCTGCCCAGCCACAGGTCAGTTGGGCCCTTGGGTGAGAGAACCAGCTATCTCAACATTGCTTTTTATGTCTTGTGTTTTTTAAGGAGCAGAAAACTTAGAGAAGATTGGATTTCAGCTTTCTGGGCTTCTTCCTGTGCTTTTTTTCTTGTTGACAATTTGACAGTAGCAAAATTCTTTATCCACCCTTGTGTTATACTTACATGTAAACAGACTAGATGGTGCAGAACTGTCACAGAAGAGGTCATATTTTTTGTTTTTTGTTTTTATCTGTATGTGAATGATGTATCTGTGGAACCCTCTAAAATGTGACAGAACCTCACTTCAGACCACTTTGTGCACCATACAAAGGAGGTTCTTCTAGTCTACTTCCCATCTATTGAGTCTTTTTTTTTTAAAAAAAAGCTTGATTACATTTTAGAGGAAAAAAATCAAATAATAATACATATGTGATGTCACAGTATTAAGATGGCTTAGAAAACAAACACAAAATCGCACCTTTTCCTTATCAATTTAATCTCTTAAGACAGAGAAGTTCCATTTAGATGCCCAATTATTTTCTCAAGGAGGCCTCAGTTTTAGTAAATTTCTTTGGAAACTGAATAGGCCTCAGTTTTATATTACCTGTACTGGACAACAACCTGCATTCTTTGCCCAGCCCCTTTTCCTCATGTCACTACCTGCTTCATCAGTTACCATCACATGTCCTGACATTTAATGACCACATGCTGTCTTAAAGCATGGCCAACAACAAAACCTTCATTTGGGTTTTCTTGTTGGAAACTAAGCCTGCCCACCCTCATGTATCCCCTTGCAATGCCAGTCCCTGGAGATGGTACAGCAGTAACCCCTTGCCTGAGTTGTACTGTTTTGCCTCTTGAGGAAATGACATGATTTCTTTTTTAGTCACCAACAATTCCTTTCCTTCTCATTTTTCCCTTTCTCTTAGCATGTTCTCAAGGTGCCTACAACATTTCCTATTCTTAAGAAACAAAAAGTGATCCTAGTTTTTCATTTTGTCTGTCTCAGAAATAATCATTTCCCTACTGAACTGTGGTTGTCTTAAGTATGGGACTGAGAAGACTGGAAGGAAATGGGAGGCAGAATGAGGAATAACTACAAAAAAAGAGGCTAAGAGACATAGTGATGAGACTAGCTGTGGTTACAAAGACTGGTACATTGCTCTGCCAGGTTTTCCTAATATACCTAACATCAGGTTTAATTTGGAAAGGATTGACATTCCTTTCAAGTAACTCCTCTTCCTTCCTGGGCCACAGGTCTCACCAGCCCAGCCCACACCAAGCACAGGAGGGCGACGGCGGCGCACAGTGGATGAAGATCCAGATGAGCGGCGGCAGCGCTTTCTGGAGCGCAACCGTGCTGCAGCCTCTCGCTGTCGTCAGAAGCGGAAGCTATGGGTGTCTTCCCTAGAGAAGAAGGCAGAGGAACTCACTTCTCAGAACATTCAGCTGAGTGTGAGTGGGTCCTGGATGATTGTTGGGATTGTTGAACTTTGAAAGTGGAGTTGAATGAGAAAAAAAGTGGGACAGTATAATAGAAGATGGTAATTCTTTGAATTAGGACAGATCCAGATGTTCCAGAAAGAAGGCAGAAAGAATCCCTTAAGTCAGAGTTGAAATCTCTTCCCCAGAGGTTGGAAAAGACACCATCTATTCCCAAATCTGCTACTAGAATGAGTCATTCATAGACCAATTTGGATGAAGGGAATTAGATTAAGCACCCCAGGGTGCTCTTTTAAGTCATCAGTATGGGGTTGTGGAACACCCAAAGGGAAATGGATTTGCCCCAGATAATGCAGCTTAATAAAAGAAAGAAAAAGCAACACAGCCCTAGCCAGGCAGTTCACTTAATTAGAGCAGCAACCTATATACACCAAGGTTGTGGGTTCTATCCCTGGTCAGGGTACATACAAAAATCAGTCAATCAATGCATAAATAAAGGAACAATAAATTGATGTTTGTCTGTCTGTCTGTCTGTCTCTCTCTCTTGCACTCTCTTCTTCTCTCTCTTCCTTCTTCTCTCTCAAATGAGTTTTAAAAAACACCTGTCAGTGTGATAGGTAAAAAAAAAATAAAAGCCACACAAGCACTAGAACAATTTTATAATCCATGTATTTTCTTGAATATTGTTTTCTGTTCTCCTGATTATTATTAAAATATTTCATTATAAGGAAATATATACTAATTATATATAACATATATATATATAATATACACACACAGGTGTAGAATAAAAACAAAGTCTGCTGTGGCTGGTATGGCTCAGTAGATTGAGTGCTGGCCTGGGAACCAAAAGGTCTGAGCTTTAATTCCCAGTCAGGGGACATGCCTGGGTTGCAGGCCAGGTCCCCAGGTGCAGGTATGTAAGAGGCAACTGATCAATGTGTCAGACACATCAATGTTTCTTTCCCTATGTTCCCTCTCTCTAAAAATAAACAAAGAATCAAAAAAGCCCCAAAGTCCTCTTCATTATGCCTTTCCAGACTCATTCTCTTCCCTGTAGGTAAGTTTGATGTGTACCTACCAGACAGATCCATATTTCTAAATATTATTTTCATTTATACTTTTTGTAGGGGAGTCATGGAAGGATTGTGTGTTAGTTTTAACATAAATAGGTTAACAGTCTCTTCTGGAGATCTGGCCACGTGTATAGAAGATCTACCTCATTTTCCTTTTTAAGATTTCATTTATTTACTTTTAGAGGGGAAGGGAGGGAGTAAGAGAGGGAGAGAAACATAAGTGTTCGAGCTATACATCAATCTGTTGCCTCCCGCATGCCTCTAGTTGGGGACCTGGCCCACAACCCAGGCATGTGCCCTGGCTAGGAATGGAATCTGTGACCTGTTGGTTCTCAGGCCAGCACTCAATCCACTGAGCCACACCAGCCAGGGCTACCTCATTTTTCTTAACAGCTATATAGTACATTCTAAGTGTGGTTATATTATAAGATATGGATATTTATAATGTTTCTAATTTTTTGCTAGAACAGCATTGGCTGCAGTGAACATTGTATGTATTTGAGTAGATCTGTTAAATAGATTCTTGGAAGTAGGCTTTCTTAGTCAAAGGACATGTGCATTATCAATTTTGGTATAATCATATTTATCCTAAATAGGAATAATTTTTCTATTGTAAATCCCTCCTTGTTATTGTAAGCAGCTCCTGTCATTGAATTCATGACTATACTGGTCCTAGCTATTGAAGCCTTGTTGAATCAGAAGTGTCCCAGATTTGGAGAAGAAAATATAGGCAGCATACTGTCGTCACTTCAGAAGAGATAGTCACTGAGGTTAAAGAGTGGAGGATGAATTTTCTTGATTAACTCTTTTCTTCTCTCTCTCCTCAGAATGAAGTCACATTACTACGCAATGAGGTGGCTCAGTTGAAACAGCTATTGTTAGCTCATAAAGACTGCCCAGTCACTGCACTACAGAAAAAGACCCAAGGCTATTTAGGTAAATGGCTCACAACCTAAGCAAAGTCAGTCAGTAACCTGCATGTATTGAGTGTCTCAACTGTTTATAATTTTATATCTCCATTCTCAATGTTCTGGGGGGATCCAGACTGATGAGTAAGCAGACTTTGTGGAGCAACCAGCCCTACAAAAAACAATTTTTTTTGAGAATAATACAGAGTTATCCTAATTATCACAGTTGGAGATAGAGGGTGGCTATGTTTATTGGGTGCCTGCTTTGGGTTAGGCACTCTACCATTTTTCCAGTTCTCTTCCTGTATGTAAATGAAATTATCTCCATTTACACACAGGAAAACTGCACTCAGGTTAGTCACTTACCTGAAGTTGTAAATAACTCCTGGGCTGGCAGAGCCAGTATTCACATCCAGGTCTTTCTTATTTTAAAGATAGTGCTTTGACCTCAAAGAGGATGTAAACAGCAGATGGTACATGGGGGTTTGTTAAGCATTGGTATTTGGGAGTATTTTTTTAAATATTTTATTTATCTTTTAGAGGGGAAGGGAAGGAGAGAGGGAGAGAAACATCAATGTATCGTTGTCTCTTGTGAATCCCCTGCCGGGAACTGGCCTGCAACCCAGGCATGTGCCCTGACTGGGAATCGAACTGTGATCCTCTGGTTCATAGGCCTGCGCTCAATCCACTGAGCTACACCAGCCAGGGAATATTTTTTGTCTTTTTAATGAAGGGCTGATGTTGGTTTTAGTGCATATTCTATAAGCACACATAAAATAGTACTAGAAAGATAGTCACAGAGTTTTGCTTAGGAAAAGCAAAATCCTAAAATCAAAATTATTGTGAATAATTGGCTTATGGTAAAAGTTAGTAAATCATTTCCCTTTACAAATTAAATTCATAGAAATGATGGCTATCAAATTTTGATATATTGAATTATTTTCCACTATAATTTCACAGATGTGTTTTCACAGAAAATGAGTAACCACATCACCAATTTTAAATATCTCTATTTAAATTTTAATTTTAATATGTACTTAAGGGTACATTCATATACTAAGCAGATGTTGATTGAGCCTGTTCTTTGTTGGGCACTGTTTTACATGCTGAGAATATAATAGAAAGCCATAGATTAGATTAAACTTTCTGTCCTTGAGGGGCTTATATTTTAGTGAGAAAGACAATAAATAAGATAAATAGGTACAATATATGATATATTGGTAATAATAAATGCTTGGGAGAAAAAAATCAAAAAAGGGAAGAGGAATATAAAATGTTGGCAGCAGAGTTGAAATTTTAGATGAGGTGGCTTTTAAATAAAGACCTTAAAGAAAGTGAAGGAGATAGCCATGCACTTATGTGGGAGAAAAGTCCTACAAACAGGAGCAAGGGCAGATGAAAAGACCCAAAGTGGGAGTGGGCCTGACACATTCTAGGAACATCGAGAAGGCTAGCAGGGGTGGATTGGAGAGTATGGAGACTGGAGAGTAGTTGGAGATGAGGTAGGGAAGGTAAAGGCAGCATGTCTGGGTAGGGCTTCATTAGTCATGGTGAGGACCTCGGCTTTTACTGGCCATTGAGAACCATTAGGGGGTTTTTAGCAGAGCTGCGACATGCTGATCTGACTTACATTTGAACAGGATCACTGTTAGTGTAGTAGGTATGGACAGAAGCAAGCAGTCCACTTAGGAGGCTATTGCAATTATGCACGAACGATGTTGGAGCCTTGGACCAGGATGGTGGTAGTGAAAGTGGTTAGAAGGGGTCAAATTCAGGATATTTTGAGGTTTGAGTGACAGGGTTTGATGACAAGCCAAATGGGACAGTATATATGAAGAACAAGAAGAATCAAAAATTGCACTGAAGTTTTGGGACTGAGAAGCTGCAATAATGGATTTGCCATTAATTGAGATGGGGAAAGGGTAGGGGGAATGGATTGGGAGTTATATTTGAAGCTCAGTTTTGGACAAGCTGAGCTTGAGAAGCCTATTAGTCTTGAAGGTGGAATCTAGCAGGCAGTAGTTATATAGGTCAGCAGTTCAGAGGAAGGGCTGGAAGATATAACTGGATTCAGCATTTAGTTAGTTGTTAATGCCATAAAACTGGATGAAATGTTATCATCAAGGGAGAGTGCACATAGAGAGAAAAAGAGAAGCCCCAGAACTGAGCCCTGGAGTATTGCAATATTGGAGGTCAGAGAGATGAGAAGGGAACCCACGAAGTGACTGAGAGCTGCCAAGAAGGTAGGAGGAAAAGCAGCTGAGTAGCTGAGTGTACTGTTCTGTAAACCAATATAAGAAAGTGTTTCAAGATGTTTAGTGGTCAACAATTTCAAATATTTTTCATGGGCTAAAAGGAAGACAAGAACTCAGCGTTGATTGATATGAAGTCTATATAGAGTAAGTTTCCTACTCATTCCCTGCAAAAATTCTGACATGTAGTCAGTTCATTAAACTACTTATTTGTCACAGCAAAAATGTCCTTAGTTCCTGCTATATGAAGTAGACATTATGGTAGTTACTTAACACAAGACAAATAGACCCTGTCCCTACCTCTGAGAGACTCATGGGGTTATGTGGAGATGAGCATGTCAACCTGTTAATAGAGTAAGTACAGATATCCCAGCTAGTCTACAGCCATGCCACCCTGAACGTGCCTGATCTCGTCAGATATCCCAGCTAAAGAGCCCTTAGACCGAGAGCTTCCTGAGGAAAAACTACCGTTTTACTCTGTGTACCACAGTGCTTGGCACATGAATGATGCTCAGTAAATATTTGATGAATTAATGAACATATGTCCTGAAAGCACAAGCAATGATATAGTTAATTTCCTGAGCGCAACAAAGAAGGCTTCAGGAACTTCTGACCAAGATGGAGGTATTGGTAGATATACTTGCCTCATCACACAACCAAAAGAAGGACAACAGATTTAAAAACAAAAAATAACGAGAACTGCCAGAAAAATTGAATTGTGTGAGAGTTCAACAACCAAGAAGTTAAAGAAGGATTATATTCTTCAGACTGGTAGGGGGGGCGGAGACGCCTACCAGCCTCTCAGCGAGGGCAGAGAAGACATGTGGCAAAGCAGTGGCTGGAGGACCAAACCAGGCAGTCCCACATTAGTGTGCCAAGAAACTGGGAGGAACGACTGGTGAGCAACACAGACTATGCAACCCAGGGCTCCAGCCCAGGGAAATAAAGCCTCAAAACCTCTGACTGTAAAAATCTGTGGGGGTTGCAGCAGTAGGAGAAACTCTCAGCCTCATAGGAGAGTTCACTGGAGAGACACACAGGATCCTAGAATGAACACAAAACCACCCACCTGGGAATCAGCACCAGAAGGGCCCAATTTGCTTGTGGGTAGCAGGGGAAGTGACAAAGTGGTAGGCGAGGCCAGCAAGTGGCATTGTTCCCTATTGGAACCCTTCCAAATTCAGCACCACAACAAAGCAATCTGGGTTGTCCCAACCTGGCAAATACCTAAGGCTCTGCCTCGTTCTATGTAACAGGTGCACCAAGACAAAAAAATACGGCCCAAGTGAAAGAACAGATCAAAGCTCCAAAAATAGAATTAAGTGATGAAGAGATAGCCAACCTATCAGATGCAGAGTTCAAAACACTGGTAATCAGTATTCTTACACTAACGGTTAGGTATAGCTGCAAAACAGAGGAAGAAGTGAAGGCTGTGCAAAGTGAAATCAAGGAACATATACAGGGAACCAACAGAGAAGGGAAGGAAACCGGGACTCAAATCAACAATTTGGAGGATGAAGGAAGAAATAAACATTCAATCAGAATGGAATAAAGAAACAAGAATTCAGACAAATAAGGAGAGGCTTAGTAACCTGCAGGACAACTTTAAACATTCCAATATCCGAGTCATAGGGGTGCCAGGAGAGGAGGAAGACCAAGAAATTGAAAACTTATTTGAAAAAATAATAAAGGAGAACATCCACAATCTGGCAAAGGAAACGGACTTCTAAGAAGTCCAGGAGGACTTCCGCCAAGATGGAGGTGTAGGTGGAAGCACTGTACCTCCTCGCACAACCAACAAAGTTTTAGCAACAAAAACGCAGCCAAGCCACAGAAAATTGAACTATACGGAAGTCTGACAACAACGAACCCTTCAGCCAAACTGGTAAGAGGGTCAGAGCCAGCAGCAGAGCGGGTTCGGGCAAGATAGATCCACTGGACCAATTTGGGCATGTGACCCAGGTGCGCCAGCAGCTGTGGGTGGATCCCAGGTGTGGAGTAGCAACAGACAGACCCACTGAGGGTGCAAGGTGGTGGACCCACTGAGGGCTGACCGCAGTCACACATTCGAACGCAGACAAAGCAGTGAAGGAGCAAGTGGTGAGACAGATTGTGCAGGCCCCAGTGGCGGGAAGCGACAGAGGGGAACACTACTGTCCCTCTCTGACCCTGCCCCCACATACAGCGTCACAAACCAGCGACCCGGGTGGCCCCGCCCTGGTCAACAACTAAGGCTCCCCTCATACGTAACAGGCAAAAACAGATCAAAACATGGCTCAAGAACACCTAAGAGCCCCAGAGCCAATAAATCTAAGTGACAAAGAAATAGCAAAACTTTCAGATGCACAGTTCAAAACACTGGCCATCAGGATGCTCACAGAACTGGTTGATTTTAGTCACAAATTAGAGGAACATATGAAGGCTAAACTAATTGAAATGAATGGAAATGCACAGGAAATCAATAGTAATGGAAAGGAAACTGGGACTTGACTCAAAGGAGTGGACCAGAAAGAGGAAAAAAATGACCAAACAGAAAAGGATGAAGAAACAAGAAATGAGAGGCTTAGGAACCTTCAGGACATCTTTAAACGTTCCAACATCCAAATTATAGGGATACCAGAAGGGGAAGAGGAACAGCCACCAGTGGAAAACTTATTTGAACAAATAATAAAGGAGAATTTCCCCAAGCTGGCAAAGGAAATAGACTTCCAGGAAATCCAGGAAGCTCAGAGAGCTCCAAAGAAATTGGACCCAAGAAGGAACACACCAAGGCACATCATAATTACGTTAGCCAAAATTAAAATGAAGGAGAGAATCCTAGAAGCAGCAAGAGATAAGGGGACAGTCACCTACAAAGGAGTTCCCAACAGACTGTCAGATGATTTCTCAAAAGAGACCTTAGAGGCAAGAAGGGGCTGGAAAGAGGTATTCCAAGTCATGAAAGCCAAAGACCTACATCCAAGATTGCTCTATCCAGCAAAACTTTCATTTAGAATGGAAGGACAGATAAAGTGCTTCTCAGATAATCAAATTCAAGGAGTTCATCATCACCAAGCCCTTATTATATGAAATGTTAAAGTGACTTATCTAAGAAAAAGAAGATAAAAAAGATGAACAGTGAAAGGACAGCAAACTCACAGTTATTAAGAACCACACCTAAAACAAAAGCTAAGAGGACAGCTAGATCAGGAGCAGAACCACAGAAATGAAGATCACATGGAGGGTTAGCAACAGGGGAGTGGGAGAAGGAGAGGAAGGGAGAAGGTACAGAAAATAAGTAGCATAGACGGTAGGTAGAAAAAAGGGGGAGGGCAAGATTAGTATGGGAAATATAGAATCTAAAGGACTTGAGACGTGGTCATGAACTAAAGGGAGGAAATGGTGGGGGAGGGGGTGTGCAGGGTGGAGGGGAATGAAGGGGGGAAATAGAACAACTGTAATGGCCTAATCAATAAAATATACTTTAAAAAAAGGAAAAAAAAAAGAAGCCCAGGAAGCTCAGAGAGGCCCAAAGAAGTGGGACGCAAGGAAGCACACACCAAGGCACATCATAATTACATTAGCCAAGATTAAAGAGAAGGAGAGACTCTTAAAAGCCACAAGAGAAAAGGAGACAGTTACTGACAAAGGAGTCCCACAGACTGTTAGTTGATTTCTCAGAAGAAACCTTGCAGGCAAGAAGCAGCTGGAAATAAGTATTCCAAGTCATGAAAGGCAAGGACCTACATCCAAGATTACTCTATCCAGCAAAGTTATCATTTAGAATGGAAGGGCAGCTAAAGTGCTTCTCAGATAAGGTCAAGTTAAAGGAGTTCATCATCACTAAGCCCTTATTATATGAGATGTTAAAGGGACTTATCTAAGAAGATGATCAAAACTATGAACAGTAAAATGACAACAAACACAACTAACAACTGAACCTAAAAGAAAACTAAGCAAACTATTGGAACTGGAACAGAATCACAGAAATGAAGATCACTCGAAGGGTTATCAGTGGGGAGGGGGAGCATGGAGAAAAAGATTCAGGGATTAAGAAGCATAAATGAAAAAAAAACTTATACATATAACTCATGGACATGAACTAAGGGGGTGGGGAATGCTAGTGGGAAGGAGGGTACAGGGCAAAGGTGGAGAAAGGGGAGAAAAAGTGGGACAACTGTAATAGCATACTCAAATATTTAAATGAAATTTAAAAGAAGGCTTCAGAGAGGGGGTAATATTTGATTTCTAAAAGAAGACTCAAATATTCTTCAGGTCAAGAATACTATTAACTGTTGGAAATTTGCCCTCATTCCACACATCTCTATTTAAGCAGACATACAGGCTATCTGGTATTTAAGAAAACTCCTTGACTGATGAGCAACATGGAGTTGTCTTTGTATGCAATTCAGATATTTGTGTTATTGTCACTTTAGGTGGAGTGACATTACTCATAATAAATGTTTTAAGTCAGTAATACCTAGCTAAATGAGTAGTCAGGAGGGTCTACAGACCTCTTTGGGATTTGTTGTGTGAAGTGTACCTTAGCCAAGGACTGATCATTTATTACATAATTTGATTATAGCTTGATGTTTATCATGCTTACCTGTGGTACAACTACATGCTAAAGGAAATGTTTAACCAATGGAATGATTCAGTTCAAGTGGGAATTAATCAGAGAAGATACCTGAAACGTGATATTTTAAATCACGTTTAAATGAATAAGAGGAAGAATATTCCAATAAAGGTTAATGAACTACATACAAAGACCTAGAAGCCAGACAGTACAATTAACATGTTGGGGATTTGCTTTATTGGGATAGATAGGTTAATTTTTCTAGTTCTTCCCTTCGCACAGCTTACCGTTTACCAGCTAATTTATAGTTTAGAAGCCAAGATTCTGGGAAGTTTCTCCCTGCCCCATCCCCTCCAAAAAATAGGTTTCCCTTTCCTTTGGTCTGCTTTAGAATTATGGAAAAAGGTAGTGCCGCCTATTTCCCCATTCTTTTTTCTAACTACTTGTTCTCTGTTCTTTGCCCTCTTTCCTTGGCAGAAAGCCCCAAGGAAAGCTCAGAGCCAACGGGTTCTCCAGCTCCTGTGATTCAGCACAGCTCAGCAACAGCACCTAGCAATGGCCTCAGTGTTCGCTCAGCAGCTGAAGCTGTGGCCACCTCAGTCCTCACTCAGATGGCCAGCCAAAGGACAGAACTGAGCATGCCCATACAGTCACATGTGATTATGACTCCACAGTCCCAGTCTGCAGGCAGATGATGCCTCCCCTTGTGGAGGGATCCCCAGCCAGAGCTCGCCCGTCCCAGAGCCAAGAGAGATGTCATCTTATCCCCTTGCATCTGCCTTGGACATGGCAGTTTGGGGGGAAAACTGTGTGTTGTGAGTAAAGGACAGATGTGGGGCTTTTCAGCCACATGGTCATGTATGTTGACACCTGTACTAGGAGCCTCCCAGCCCCAGAGCCATATAGATCATCCCCTAAGGGGGGGTTTCTCATGTCCCCACAGCAAAAGGCCTTTCCAGATGGCCTGAACGATCAATCGCCCTTGCCCATGCACGTGTACTTCTCTCTTTTAACACTAACCCCTGCACTTCTAGTTTTCAGGTTTCCCAGTTCCCTCTCTTCCCACTAAGCCATGACTGTACCTTCTTGTTCCTTAGCAGCTTGCCCCTTCCTCTAGGTAGAGGGAGCTAGAATCGATGGCATGTCACCTGCTGACCCATCCCCAGCCCCCTCTTGGACTCAGGACTTTGTGTCCCAGTAGCTGCTTATTTATCCCTTTTTACCCATCCAAAGTTCTAATCAAAATATTCACTTAGGGAGAATGTAAGGTTACCTTTGATATATGAAGGAGTAATTTCCAGCTCTTCCATAAACTTTAGTTTTCTCCCTATCTTCTACCAAAAAATTAGAAAAAATAAAAACAAACAAAAAACCCAAAAAAAGCAAAAAAGAAAGCAACAACCCCCCCCCCAAGAGTTTTAGTCCTTTTTTATCTGTTTCCAGAGCTATTTGGGTACCACATTTTTGTCTCTTGAGTTTTCCCAGTCTAAGTGGTGGGGTCTTTCTCCCACCTCCCACTAAGCCTTGGCAATCTTACCTTATGGCCTTACTAGATAGGGCTTGGTAGTAAAAGGGAGAAGAGCCCAGGATCTGATTGGCTGACTCCCTCCCTGCTCCATCCTTCTTCAGTCTAATCATCAGGTCAGGCAGGAAGGTCATTCCATCAGGTTACTGGATTGATTCTTTTATGTTTGATAGGAATCTACTGACCAAAGCACACATAATCCTTTTGGTCATCTTTCTGCTTCTGCCCCTCCCTCTTCATTCCCCTGTCCACACGTCTGCCTGACTCTTTTATAATTAGTTCAGATGCAGGACTGTTGGAGCTATTATGTAGCTCCCTCACTTTTCCCCCATCTCTCAGTCTCACACATCTGTCTTGTCTGAGCTAGGGTCTTATATTCACAAGCACCCAGCATCCTCTGGATCTGCCTTCTCTCTCAGCAACCTCCTAGCCTAGCCACTAGGTCTCTCTGGTTCTGTGGTATCTCTTCAGTTCTGCTCTCTTCCCCCTAGGTGCAGTGCTTCTCCAGTGTCTAAACCCCAAGACTCTGAGGCATCATAGCCAAGGTCCTAAGAGGGTTTTTTTGAGTTGGATAAGGGGAGGCCGGGGAGCAGCAGGTGCAGTACTAATCTCAGCATAAGAGCCCTGCTTGTTGAAGGGTCGAGCCTGCCTGAGAAATTGGTGACCGTTGCTCTCAGCCATTCTTAACATTTGAAGAGTTTGGTTACAGGGGGGAAATTCATCCCTCTTGTCTCTCTTCCCCATGAAGACTTCTCGTCTTCCTTTGGCTCTGAACTATGCAATTTCCACCAGGGCCATAGGAAGCGATACAAAGCCAGGGGCCTGTGGATAAATATGTCAGCTTTAATAGCTCTTCAGTATGAAATCCTTCCAATTGTCCCAGAGCCACCTTCTGCCATCTGCCGAAGCCAAGAATGTCCTTTTTTCCATCTCTTCTACCTCCATCTTAAACATACATACAGAATAACTCCCAACTTCCTTTGTTATTTGTCTTCTAAAATCGGCTGTCATAGGGGAACAAGGAAGTGTTCTAAGCCACAAGATTCCCACCTCCTCAGAGTGATAAACTGGTGAGCCAGTCAGATAACATGTTCTACTGCATTTGTTTTTAATTTTCCCTCCTGCTTTTCAGAGCCCGTGCTGAACTAGCCACACCTGGTGAAGAGAAAGGAGGGAAAACATGGTTTTCTCATCCTCTACCACCTGGGACCCAAAAGGAACGGCCCCTGAGGAGGCTCAGGTTAGCAAATGGCATGGCAGATGGTCAGGAAGCAGGTTACCACCTCCAGGGACCCCACTTGCCTTTAAAAATTCACAGCCATAACTGCTGCTCAGGACTTTCTTTTAGAGGGCTGCTCCCTGGGCATTTTTCCTGCTTTAGTTTTGTTTCTTTTTTTTATTATCTTGATTTCCCGCTAGCAGCCTTGCCCTTAAGTTTGACTGACTCTATGACTCCTAAGGAGCCTTTATGAGACTCTTCACTGTTTTTCTTCCCCCTTCAGTCAGGTGTTTTTTAAGTTAAGAATCAGTTTGTCACTGTACACATGCCCCACCTCACTGCCTGGCTTTGGAGGCAGTTTACATCCTGCCAGTCTAGTCTGTCCCTCAGTAAGATGACTAGTTTCTGAAGAGGGTCTTGTTTACTTTCTTAACCCCCATGTCTGGTTCTCATTTTCATTAGTGGGAAGTTAGTATCAGGGACCTAAATGAGAGGTATTAACAGAACCAGAGTAGAATCATTGACATGAGGAAGGGGCAGGACAGAACCCCCCCAACAGCTCTTTAGTTGGTCCACAGTCTCACTAAGAAGACAGCAATTGCTCACCTGGGAGCCTCTCTCATAATCGAGGGGAACATCATTGATCTTGTTACTGCTGTCAGCCCTGTGGTTGCTCTCCCTCGCTCTTTACCTTCCAGACTCATCTGGACCAGAAGCAAACATTGTGGAGGGCATTACTTAGCCCTTCTTAAGAATACGGCCTTTCCAGAGACTTAAGGAAAGACACTTTTTGAAAAAAGCTGGGAGTCTGAACCCTTGGGGCTCTTCCACGTGAACACACGATTCAGGCCTATCACTTCACTCCAAAAACACAGCTGCTAGATAACCGAGGCCATAGAGAAAGGGGCCAGAACTAGGTCTTCTGGAAATGTGGACTTTGTGCCCCATTCCCTTGAAAGCTTGCCTAGAGTTGAAGAGTCTGAGAAAGCCTCCCCTACAACTAGGGTGGACTAGAAAGAGTAGGACTTTTTTTTTACTTACTCTTTCCCCGTTGATTGTATAGCCCAAATCTGGCTTCCTTCAGCCTGCACTCATCTTCTTGGCCCTAAGCACTGCACCATATACTTTCAGTGGTGGTAAAGTGATAACCTTACTAAATCTCACCTTGCCTCCTTCCCTTTGCCTGTTGTGTCCTTCTTGGCTCCTTGACTGATTCACTGCCCTCCAGCACCACACATCCTGGTAGATGGAGTGCTTCATCAAAACGACGCCTTCCCTGTCTGCAACCTGAACCACCACGCAGACATGGAGATACTCCTCCTCTGGTTCCTGAGGCTCCCACGTCCCTCACTGAGGAGCTCCGCTGAAGGTGCTAGCCCTGCGACAGCTCTTCCCCCCAAAGTTCTCCCTTTCTTTCATAGCTTCCTTTCCATCCCCAAATCATTATTTTCCATTAATATTGTACATTGTATATGCAGGAAGGAAATGTATTTTTTTTATTTCATAACCAGTCTGTAGAATTCAATCCCCCTGGCTATATCACATATGTCTTGGTTGATGTGCTCTTTCTTCTTTCTTTAGACTTTTGTTTGACAGGGGCGGAGGGAGGAACAAGACAAGTGAGGACCCTCAATCTCCCACAACCCTATTCATCCCCTCAGAGAACAGAATTCTCTCTGTTTCTGTTTACAAAACACGTGCGCACAGACATAAATCCCCACCTCCTCCACTCCCCAGGGTGCTGACCCAGCAAGAATGAGCATAGGTGGCTGCCAGCCACCATTCCCACCCCCTCTACTAGTTCATTCATCTCTCTTTGGGGTAAAGTCCTACTCCAGAATGAGAAAAGGCTGGGGAGAATAGGGAAGGTTGAGGCAGCTTATGTCCTTTGTAGATGCAGGTTTGTGTTGTAGCTGCTAGGGTTTTTTTTAATGGGAGCTGGTAGCACAGAGAAATCTTACCAGCATTAGCTACTACTGGGTGATGTCTTAGCTGTAAGAAATGGCTATGAGCACTAGCTAGCTCACTGACTGCCTTAGGGCAGTGGTTCTCAGAACATTGTCCAGCACCAGCAGCACCAGCATCTGGGAACTTGTTAGGAATGTGCATTTGGCCCCCACCCCTAAACTATTGAATCAGAAACTCTGGGGATGGGCTCTAACAAGCACTCCAAGTGATTCTTACACTAAAGTTTGAGAACCCTTGCCTTCAGGGCAAGCTGGGAAGGTCTTGTACCATCCTCTGCCTGAGCACTAACATGTGTTTTTTCATTTCCTCCAGTCCCCTCTCTCCACTGCCGTGAAAACAACCACATTATTCATCTCAAAATCTAGGTTTGTCTTCATCCTGCTTATCCCTAAAACCTGTCCTGCATCACTCTAGACAGGTGCTGTTCCATATTCCCTTGCAGACTGGTCACTCCACGCTCTTTGTTTCAGGAAGGACCAGCTGGAGTTTAGCTGTCCTGTTCTCGCACACACACAACCCTTCAGGCAGAGAGATGAGCCTCCACTGTTGGGACTGGAAGCTGCAGCCTCCTGGCAAAGAAAACAGTGTCTATCAATGGTTATATCTCTGCTCATCTGTATATCTTTGACATGTAGCAAAACCTCTCTATCTCATCAAGGAACTCTGTTGTGGGTCTGAGTCTCCCCAGTCCCCAGTGGTGGGCTTTGACAGGTGAGAGCATGCAGTGCTACAGGCTATTTTGTTACAAAACCATTTCCCTCCCACCCCCCGCCCCAATTCAGCATCATCCCAGTGAGCAGGCTCTCACAATCTCCCAGGACAGGGCTGAGGCAGAGTCTTTGCTCTATTCTCCCTGACCGTCCCTTCTTCCTTCCCCCTTGCCACTTAGCAGTTATCCCCAGCCATGCCTTCTCCCTCTTTCCCTTGCCCTGACATATATTGTGCCTTATTTATGCTGCAAATATAACATTAAACTATCGAGAGAACCACTGTTATGTCTGATACTTCAATACTCTGATCTACTCATCCCATTATCCACTCTTTCTGGGAACCCATTGGACTTCTGTGTCTGATTTTCCTCACTCTCCCATTCCTTTGAACAGAAGGAGCCGATATTCTTATCCCTCCTTTTTATGCAGTAAAGACAGTCTAGAGGAGGTGGGTAGTTTATATAAATTATATAACAAGGTACAGGGGCCAGCGCTCAGATCTGTGCAGGAGACAAGGGCCCTCATCAGAGCGCTCACTAGAGGACTTGTGTGGCTCTGTGAGGGTGAGGGGGGATGGCATGGTGTTTGAAGGCAAGTATCCTCTTACCTTTCAGTGTTTTGTCCCCACCCATTCCCAACAATTAAAAAAAAGTGTACAACATGATGGTAATACACAGAGACCAGAAGAGAAGCTTTCTATGTATGATTCTATGAGTTCTAGGGGGTGGGGGCACTGGTTAGAAGCAGGTAAGAAAGTTGTCAAGAAAAAGAGGTAATACTCAGGAACTGTATGAGTAAGGAGGTGTAGGGCAGTCGCTGCTAATTGCACCTTCATAATTTTCCAAGTGAGGAGAGTAAGCCAGACTGAAGAACTTGACCAGGAAATAGGTGTCTCTGAGGGTTTCCCAGTAGGAGAGAAATATATCTAAGAAGCTTCTGTGGATGCTATTTGGTATAATTGACACAGAAAGGAAACTGAGTCTCCCTAAGGGTGTCTTAGGTAGTCATCTTCATTGTGTTGTGGTGAGGAACACATGGGGGTGCAGAGAAGGGTAAGAAAGGGAATTACTGAAGGCCAGATACTAAAGCCAAGATTAAGAGAGTTGAAAGCTGGAGATGAGAGCAGGGCAGTTTCCCATGTTAGCAGAATTAATCCATTCTAACTACTGACCAAAGGAGAGACCAGTCACCTCCATCCTGGACATAGGAAGGCAGCTAGATACAGCTCCTTTCTTGATGCAGCCTCAGCTCAGACAGTGGTGTGCTTGGTGATCAGAAAAACAGTAGAGGGAGAAACAGCAGGATGGGAAACGTCCACTGAGCATCTGCTTTGTGCTAGATGGAATGCTAGATGCTTTGTATCATTTATTGTTCACAGCAACCTCTTGGTAACAGGAGTAGTTGCCTCGTTTTATTGATGATGAAGTGAGGTTTAGATTAAGACACTTGCCAAAGGCACACAGTGAAGTGCCAGGAGCTGGGATTAAAACCGAGTTCTGTCTGACCCCAGAGCCACTCTGCAGTGCCCCACCCAGGCTCTGCTCCTCCAGACTTCAGCCAGATGAAAGCACGGGGACCTCACTGTGGGGCAGGACCCACTTCCGACAGAAGAACCATCTACCTATGATTTTAATACTCCATTTTTAGAAGTAGTGAAACTATAAGATATAATGAAGAATGTCAGGTTCTGTGCTTGGGACCAGCCATGAGACCTAGCTTACAGAAAGGTTCGTCCTAGTTTAGGCTGTATGAATGGAAATGTAGTGTCTAGAACATCCAGATCAAAACCTGCTCTGATCTGTCTACCCCAAGTACAAATTGGTTTATAAATGCCTTACTTGAAAGAGGCGGGGGTGGGAGGAACATGTCCCCTTGAACAAACAAAAAAAGACTACAGAATAGAAGAATGAAATGTCTTCAAACCTGAGAGAGGCTTCTGTACATCAAAGAATTGAGAGATGTTCTGTGAGACAATGAGGCAAACTAAGACACCCCTGGTGGAGGCCACAAGGAGATGGAAACCAGCTCAGTGCAAGGGTAAATCTGGAGACTCGGCAGGAGATGGTAAGTTCCTGGGACTCAGGTGTACGAGGTTCCTCACGCCAGTGTTTTCAAGACACTTGCTTTGTGTCACATCTTGTACTGAATGAATGACAAATAGTATCTCAAATAATGCTCACCCTAGAAAGTAGTTCTTTTAACATTGCCGTGTTTTAGGTGAAGAAACTAGTTTAGAGAGGTAGACGGCTTGCCCAAAGCTGATTCACAGGCTACAGAACCACTCTGGTGGGGATGCTGCAGGACAGATCCGAGGATCAGAAGGGAAAGGGCACCGGATGACTTTGAAGGACCCCTTCCTGTGAGGTAGATCTTTCCTAAGGCTGGATTCTAGTCTCCTGACCCCGTAGGTCACAGCCAGGCAAAGGTGGGGGTGACTAGATGGAGGTGGACAGAACAGTCCCACTCCAGTGTTCTGCCCCTGCCTGACTGGGACTCCTTAGAATCAGGACCTTAGGATCCTCCCTCCCTCAGACTTCATAGAGCGCTATTCCAGAAAAAGGAAATGGCCGGACCTGGCAGTGTGGAGCTGCAACCACAGGGTGGCAGCAGTGCCCCAGCTGCAGAGGGTGGCTCCCTAGGCCCAAGTGAGGCAGGTCCTCTCAGCAGTGCTCTGAAGATGAAGTGCATCTACAAGGATTTCTTCTAGCTTCTTTCTGTATGTTTTATTTCCACAGGCAAATCTGAGTAGTGACTCCCTTTGTAACCCTCCAAGAGGCACATTTGAACAGGTGTGAATGGGCTGGGCGACCCTGACTGCAGCCCCAGCCAGGGGTGAAAACAGGCTGGGTCATCCCAGCCAACTCTTACCCAGGCTCTTCCCCCACTCCCTGTTCCAGGACACAATACCTAGCCCTTGCTGACAGGACTTTATTTATGCTTTTATTCTACAAGTTAGAAAAGAAAGGAGGTGATCAATTGGAGCTCTCCAACCTGTTGAGGGATTGGGGGTTCTTAAAGGCCCCCTAGGGCCTGGCTCTGACAAAGCCATCTGCAATTAATGATGCTTCTTGAGCTCTGGAGACAGGATTTATGCATCTAATAAAGTCTGTAACTTCAGGCTTAGGGGCTGGGGCCGGAGGCTGGGAGCAGGAAGTCCCGGAGGGGCCATGGGAGGGGATCCCAGGGGCTCTTAATGGAGCGGTGCATTTCCATTGCCTGCTCTGTATTCCCTCTCAGGCTGCTGTGGGGTGGGGGACAGGGGGACAGCAGGTATAAGAGGCAGAGGTGGCTGTCGGAAGGCAGATGACAGCATGGATTCCAGGCAGGCTGCCGTGCTGCTCGTGGTGCTCCTTTTAATAACGGACTGGGGCCATGCCGGAGAGCCAAGCAACCTGGATGGAGGTCAGATCTTCATGGTAAGTGAGCGCCCTCTCCCCACATCACTATTTCCCTGCGCATCAGCTTGAGACTTCTGCTGTAGGTTCAAACACTCCAGTGGCAAGAGTCTTCGCTGGAGCCTCACATCTGAGGAACGGGCTCCTACAACTTGCCACTGGAAGCTACATCCTTCTTCTAGTGACCTGAATGTCAAAAGTCTTTGGTCACATTCCCTCCTGGATGTCCCTGTACCACAGGAGGAAGACCCTGGACCCCTCCAGGCACAAGATTCTGAGACCCCTAGGTCACTCTTGCTCTCCCTGCTCCAGACCATGCGGAGACCCAGCCAGAGCTCAGCCTTCCTGTTTCAGCCCCAGAGGTGAGTCTGAGAGGGACACAGGCAAGGCAGGAGCCACAGGAAAAGGAGGGAGGGAGCTGAAGAAGGGGAGGACTGGAAGAACCTTCACCTGAGGAAGGATCTCTCCTAAGGTTCGGCAGAAACACCTGGGGCTCCTGGAGGAACAAACGGCTGAGTACCCAGGCTGGGGAGGGGCTGAGCTCCCTGTTCTGGAGTCTGGCTGCCCCTCAGCGCTTTGGGAAGAAGTGACAAGTCATCATCCCTTGATATGTTTGCATGCAAGGCCACACCCAAAAATGCATGTGTGCCCTGCCCTTCCCCCCACCCCCCAAAATAAAGCTGCCTGGCTTCTGAATCCAGGTGTCTGTGTCTGAAACTTGAAAGGGCTTGGAGGGAGTCCAGGGCAAGAACCACAGCCCTTCCATCTCCACCAAACTCTCCAGGAACACAGGCAATGGCAGTCCCAGAAGTCACTGCATCCAGCCTCCTGCCACCAGAAAAGCAGATGTGGGGACTTGTGGGGAACAAGGTGGGGAGGCACGACACAGGTGGTGATCTGGCTACTAACCTCTGCCATCAGCTACTCAGGGAAACAGAAAGAGGGTTAAGAATCCAAGGAGCAGCACATTTATTCTGGGCCCTAGGGGACAGCGACAAATTTCATTTCCCTTCATCATTACTAGTAACATGAAGACGGATGCCGGGCCACTGAGGCACTGTGGTCTCTGGTTCCTGGAGCTATGCCCTCCTCAGCCTGCAGGGAGGCAGTCTGTGTCAGAAGTAGAGATGGCACCTCCGGGGGGGGGGTACCAGAGCTGCGCAGATGCCTGGGCGGAGGCAAGAGGAGCAGGGAGCAAGGGTACATCCATGAGTCCAGCTGGAGCTTTATTTGCTGCCTGCCATGATCTTGAGGTACTGCAGGGCACGGCGAGCAGCCTCACCTCGAGCTGCCTCCCTGGTGGTTGCGGAGCCATGACACACGGTGGCCGGCTGTGTGGACAGCTCCACCAGGCACTGGCAGAGCCCACTCAGGCTCAACTCCTCTGGAGACGAAGAGAGAGGAGGGAGGCAGTGTTGGGTGGGACGGCAACACCAGGAGGGGTGGTCCATGTCATCATCATGCCCTCCCTGACTCCTTATACCCATCTGTACTTGCTCTGGTCCAGTCCCCAACATCCCCCGGCCCCCCAACTAGCCATACCAATATCCAGGTAGCTGACATGGAAGGCCTGCTCCTCAGAAAGCTCACTGAGGATACTGCAGCAGGCAGGGCCCAGAGCACCTAAGGAGCCCAGGGAGCAGCTGCGAAGGGACAAGATCTTCTCTCCCACTGAATTTCGCAGAGAATCCCAAGTGCAGCCTGGGCCCCGGTTCCGAAGTCCATCCAGGCGCGAGCCTACACCCTGAAAAGACAGAAACAGTGAAAAAGATGTAGCACTGGACTGAAAGACCCAGGCATTTAATGGACATCTAATACCCGAGGAGAGAGAAGCCCAAAGAATGGTTATCTTTAGTTTGCGTCCCTTCAATCCCCTTATGGCATCTAGACCCTCCACCCCTCTCACTAGACCTGGAACTGGATGGCCAGGCAGATTTTGCTCATCCCCAAAACAAAAGCCTACAGGACCCCATACCAGGCCAGCTCCCCCATAGTACATTGCCAGGTGGGCCTACAGCTGAAGCTGAGAGGGGCCCCCTAGAACCCAGGGTCCATTAGGAAAAATAAACAGAAATAGGCCTGGGACCCGGAAAGGCTCACTCCCAAGTCACAGAACTGAGTCCCCAATGCCCTGGCCTGGTGTGGAGCATGGCACACAAGCCACTCACAATGGAGAAGTGATCATCTTCAGGCTCTGCCTCATTTCCATCCCGGGCATCCAGAGGCACTGTGTGCACTCGAAGCAGCATTTTAGCCGCCGCATTACGCTTTGCCAGCTTTTTGGAAGTGCCACTGCCTGTGTGTGGGAAGAGGGTCACTGGATTATAACTCCCAATAGACCCAGGGCTTTTCAAACCTGGGTTGAGGGTCCCCTCAGGAGATGCCCTATTGGAAAGGGGAGCTCAGGACCTGCCATGAACTTGAGAACTTGGTTGGCCAGAAGAGGTGGGAAGATAGGGTACAAGGAAGAAGCTAAGAGGAGGGAGCCAAGATGGGGGTCTCAGCCAAGAGAGCAGGACTGTAGCAGAGAGGCTAGGTGCTGCCTGTGGCCAGGACTGGAGTACTGGGGACAGTAGTTGCAAGAATTCCCTTCTGCCCAGTTACCAATCTCAATGAAACGCTCCACTCGGCAGGTCATGGTAAACTCTTTGCGGTGGGCCGGCCCAGACTCCTGAGTCACCGTGTACTCAGGCAACCGCCAGCCCTTCTGCACCACCAGCTCCTTGGAAGGGAGAAATAAGGGTGCACAAGGCTGAGTGAAAGGAGTCCAAACTATACCCTCCTACCCTAGAGCCTAAGATTCCAGGTTAGAAGAGGAATAAAGGGGATGGGAAAAGCCCTGAGAACAGGGTAACCACCCCCCCATAACCTCCCCTCACCTCCCCTGGTTCAAGGGAGGACAGGCATGCACAGGAAATGAAGACGGGGGCACACCTGCAGAGCACCAACTGGGTTGCACTCAGACTGCTGAGGAGACACAGGGGGCTGCACCTCCATGGGGGGACTCCTGAAGGAAAAAGGGCCCAGGGCCAAGGCTGAGGGGGCTAGTTTCTTCTGCTGCTGCCCAGGAGTCCTACGCCTTGTTTTGGTTCCCCCCACTACCATCCCCCTTTCTCCAGAAGGGCAGACAGCTATCTGTCCAAATTTCTAGCCTGCTTCTTTCTCCCTCCCCTGCAAGTGAGGTCACTTCCACGTCTCAGGCCCTTTCAATTTTCTGGAACACGTGGTCATCACCTCACCAGAACAGTGGGAGGGGCTGTATATCCAGTCCCTGGAAGCACCTGATGGGACTCAAACACAGGGCCATCAGAGGACCAGGCCAGAAGAACAACAGGGCCTTGCAAGATGCTTAAACATGGTCAAACATCATCCATATAACTATTTAAAAATAATTAATTTGGGGGGTATAATTTTGGAGGTATCTTGTCCCAAGAGCTTACCAGCTGGTGCAAATTCTTCAAATTCTGGTCCCCAACTATTCCAGCCTCTATTTACTCTCAGACTTCCTTTTGTCTCACCAGCCTGGGTCCAAAGGCTAGGGGCCAGGAACCAGGACCCCTCCCTCCCTGCCTCAGGCAATCAGTAAACACAAAATACCTGGTTGGGACAGCAGATGGAACAGGAGTAGCAGTGGCTGCAGCAGTAAAAACCGGAAAGTCCTCAGGCAGTGAAGAGTCTAGGGGAGAAAAAGAACTTCCCGAGGGGAAGGGGGCCTTTGATTCACACCCATGTGTGGGTGGGGGGGGGCTCGTTGGAAAGGTGGAGGATCCAGGTCCTCCTGACCTGCCCATCCTCTATGAAAATTCCTTCCCACTTGAGTCAAAGGCTCAAGGAAGCTCAACAACCAGCTCTTCCTCCTGGGATCCTTTGCTGCCAAGCATCAGATCAAAAAGACTGAGAAAAGGAGGAAGAGGGTCTCTTTCTACCCAAGAAACATGGGAACAACAAACTCCAACCTGAGTTCAGAAGAGGAAAGGGCATCTTGCTAGACAGGGAAGGCAACTCCCTCCAGCCTCGGCCTCCACCCCTCTCCCTCCCTAGCCACAGCCACAAAGCCCTCAGTGGAACTGGCCGTTCCCCCCAGCAGCAGGAGCCCTGGAAGCATCCTGCCCAGGGCCAGAGGAAACTCAGGAAGAGGCCAAGTCAAGGTGACTAAGTGTCACCAGGCCAGGCCTGCTGGTGCAAAGGGCCTGGGTTCCTGGCAGGGCCTCTAGGATGCCTCAGCTGTTCCTCCCTCACCTGCTGTCCTCCAGGGCCGGCTCCAGCATGCTCCCCCCTTTGAGGTGTTTGAGGGCCACCTCAGCTGCCTTGTGCTTGGCTGCCTTCTTGCTGGGGCCCTGACCTGAGAGAGGGGGTGTGAGCAATACTGGAGGTCACTGGAAGGACAGAAGAGAAACCAGCATCCCATAGCCTCTCTCCTCACCGTTACAGGGAGTCAACCAAGCCCCTTCTCACTGGCCTCCCCCTGTCCAAGACTGGAAGTGTTATACTAATTGTTGGAAGGAAGGGCCCTTATCTTTCCACGAGCTCCCCAAATCAAGCCACACCAGACAGAACTGTTCCTGAGCTCAGACACCTTGGGTGGAGATTCTTTCTCTACCTTACTTTCCTCTGGGAAGCTTTTTCTCTCAATAGAGATGGCTGGACAAATAGAAAGATGGTAGGCTCTAGAGTCAAGCCTGGCTCTACCACTGACTGAGCCTGTGATTTTGCACCAGTCATTGAATCTCCCTGAGCCTCAATCTCCTCATATTCAATATGAAGATACTACCATTTACCTCACTGGATTAGACTGACGTTGATGACTAAATAGGAATTTGGTTAAGCACCTGCCAAAAGCCCAGGACAGCCAACACTCACTGCCCCAAATACTTGGCTCAGATTTTGGTTTAGTTCCTCTTTTTCCTCCAGGATGATGCTGACCTGCCAGATCACTATGGCAATCCTGCTTGCTCCTTTAACTCTTCCCAAGTCCTACCCGCCTCCTCTTAGACCTGTCCTCCCAATCCAGTCGGTGGCCTTTTCCCCTGAAATCTCTCCCTCCCTCACTGCTCTTGGAGATGAATGAGGACTGTGAAGAGACTCCAAGAAATAAAGCCAATGGGGCCCTGTGAATGCACACCCCAGCCAGGCTGGCCCAAGCCTTCCTCACCAGTGCAGCTGGTGTCGCCAACGGTGACCCGAAAGGTGAAATTAGGCTGGTGGGCTTGGCCCTCGGCTTTGAGAAGGTCGTACACGGGCGTCTTCCCTATTCTGGTCCCATACTCCTGAAGAAGGCTGATCGGGGTCTTGCCCGGGTTGGCTGCCAGCATTTGCTCTATACTGGGGGTAGGGGCACAGACCCTCATCACACCTCCCCTCTCTGCACCCACCTGGCCAAGCACTGCTATATCAGACCAAGGCACACTACGGGGGGGTCACAGGGTCCAGGAGACCCCAGGCAGCACAGCAGCCATAGGCTGGGTTCAATGTGGAGTGGAGGTACAGGCTGGGAAAGCAGGGTCCACGGCCCCAGGGCAAGCGAGTAATGCACTGTTCCTGTCGCAGTTAACGTGAGGGATCCTGTACCCGAGTGCAGGTTGGAAATGCATGTCCCCTAACACAGTGCAGGCCAAGAACCCAGTACCCACCAAATGCACTGAATGTCGGAGCATAAAGCCCAATGCCCCAGTGCAGTCTGGGA